ACTTGAGAGGCTGAGGCAAGGCAAATGCTTAAGCCCAGGAATTGGAGGTTGCTGTGAGCTGTGATGGCATGGCCTTCTACCCAGGGCAACAGCTTGAGGATCTGTCTCAAAACAAAAAGGGGTGGGGGGTGGTGGGGGAGGCAACGCCTGTGGCTCAGTGGGTAGGATGCCAGCCCCATAGCCCCATATACCAAGGGTGACGGGTTCGAACCCGGCCAGCTAAAACAGCAGTGGCAACTGCAACAAAAATAGCCCAGTAGGGCGGCACCTGTGGCTCAAAGGAGTAGGGTGCTGGCCCCATATGCCGGAGGTGGTGGATTCAAGCCTATCCCTGCTAAAAACTGCAAAAAAAAAAAAAAGAAAAGAAAAGCTGGGCGTTGTGGTGGGCATCTGTAGTCCCAGCTACTCGGGAGGCTGAAGTAAGAGAATCACCCTAGCCCAAGAGCTGGAGATTGCTGCAAGCTGTGATACCACAGGACTCTACCAAGGGTGCCAAAGTGAGACTCTGTCTCAAAAAGAAGAAAACCTAACAAAAAGCATAACACAAAGAATGCTAAGACTCAGCAGACCACTGAGATTCTAGGTCTCAAGAAAGGATAACTCTCTTTCTAACTAGGCTTCCTTTTGCCTTATATTCCAGTAATTTCCTTAGCTAATTTTGGTCACGTTTCTAAGTATTGCATTGAAAAAATGGTCTTTTCAAGATTGTCTTAACAGAGGATTTCATTATCTGCCAGAGCCACAGGGAGAAAGGCTCCAAGAGCTCTTTGCTACTACCAGTCCCAGCTGGCAGGAGTCACAACGCAGCAGTAAGGCCTACATACAGCCAGGACACCAGTGTCCCCCAAGCCCTCATGGTCCCTGCGGCAAAGACTAACAGAAGTTTGCATTAGTGTGGGAGGCTATTCAAGACTTGGTGACCAGGCGGTGCCTGTAGCTCCATGGTTATGGTGCCAGCCACATACACCCAGGCTGATGGGATAGAACGTGGCCCAGATCAGCTAAACAACAACTGCAATAAAAAACAGCCAGGCACTGTGGCAGGCACCTGTAGTCCCAGCTACTTGGGAGGTTGAGGCAAGGGAAATCACTGAAGCCCAAGAGTTTG